GCTTCTTCCCCACTTAACTGCCGAAAGCCAGAGCAATATTGAATCAAGTCTGGCCGGCATCAATAAAAGTAACTGCATTATAGGGATAAGATACCCTGTCTCTCAGTACATGTACACTCTCGCCTGAATTTATTGGTAAGAAACTAGTCGAGTGAAAATTCACTGTGAAACTATTTATTTTATTTGACTTCTTCTCCCCCATGAGCTGCATGTGTCCCGCTGTATTTCTCGTTTGGCATTAGTTTTTTGCAATATCCTCGGGGTCTTTTTTCTGCCTCCAACTTGTACTCTATCTGTCTTGTCGCTTTGCCATGTCTTTTTGTGGCCCATCTTTTGGGTGGAAAATTGCAAGAAGTTGTGTGTTCCACCCTATTTTGGTTCCTCAAGCACTTGCCATACATGCACATACATACATCTCCGCCAGTGTCTGCCCGAAACGTTGTTGTTTACAATTTGACAATAAAGCCCCAGAAGAAGTACATGGAGTCGAACACTGTCTTCCCGCATGTACATGTAATTGAATACCGTCGCGGAATAAATCTCGTTCATCCCCCAAGTGCCGGGGTGAAAATGTGGAGGTGACAGAAGCCAGTGAGACTATTCGGGAGCCAAAGGCTCCATCGAGGCATGTGGATTCTGAATTATGTGTCAAATCACAGATTAGCCGCACTGAGCTTTGGCAATTTCTAAGACTCCCTCTTCAATCCTTCAATGGATTCCAGAATTGATATGAGCTTACTGCTGAGGGTGTCGCCACGGCAGAGCTTTCGACTCACACGCCCACAGTGTGCAAATACCCGAAGAGGATTTCTGTGGTGCTCTGCGGAACACAGGAGATATTGGCAGTCACAGGAGAAAGCCAATAATATCGTAAATTTCATTCCAATCCAACTCGTGGAGGAAGAATGCGGGGCCACTGTGCTGGCGCTCGGCTCCCGTGCCAGGAGGCGAATTCATTAAACTATTTCAAGGCAAGTGCAACCTTTCAACCGTTTAATGGATTCAATTTACCGCGTATATGCACAACAATGCCGTGAAAGCACTTCACACATACAATATCTATAAACATTCCCCCGCCGCCCCCTTGGCGCCGCCCAGCATCCACAGTTTTTGCATCCACTCCTCGGCCACCATGTGCTCAAAATGTTGGTCAGTTCAGCAGAAGAGCGACGCGATGTCCATTAGAGCGGAAAGTGGGCGCCGTGTTGAGCATCAGCAAGCCAGCGAGAGACTGCATCAAATTCTATAATCAGTAAATAACCCACATTTTCCGTGTCGATTTGCCTCTTTGATGCTCCGCCACCCGCGCCGCCGGCGTCGTCAGCCAGCAACATGCACGCTATCGTCACTTCCACCTCGCCTCTTTTTTGTCTCTCCCTTTCAATCGACAACAAGAGACACACAGCCGTGAATGGCTTGATGATCACGTTTATGAATATATCGACAATGGCATTACACAAGCAATCGAGTTTCGCTGCAGCCACACATTCGCCCCATCCGAAAGCTCCCAGCGCCTCTGTCGCCAGCATGGAAGACGAAGTGGAGGAGCGCAGCTCGTGTGGTCGTTCAATTTGCGGATTTAATGTGGGTTTGAGGATTTAAATAGCAAATGCGAATACTCAGTACATGAGATTCGCACTCTTCACTCCGTTCCATCCCTTAATGCAAAGTGCAAGAGTTGGATCAACACACTCATCTGCGATACAAGTTGGGGAACTCGACATATTCAGATAGTGATGCTTCATTTCAATCTACTTTAAGCTGAGCTACTCCTGCTGTTTCCCTCGCGAACGTGTAAAGTGGGCTTTAGTGAGGTATTCATTAAGAAAAACCCACTGAGCTTCGTCCATTGTCTCCTTTAACGATCAATTACATATATTATACATAGCATAAAATGCATGGAAATGTTTTTTAACTTCATTATGCATTGTTTGTCTGGGATAACTGCAAGGGGAAGATAATATGCCATAAATTTGTACACCATTTCAGACACTTTTGAACGTCTTAAAAGACTTTTTCCGTCGCTTTTTAGACTCCTTCAACTGTTTCGCACACTTATTTCTGACTTATCACAATCTAAACTGGGTTTTCCGACTTAGGAAATTTAATGTCTTTAAATTCTTAGATATAAGAATGTCCCGAGATTTAAATTTTGTCTTTGGAAAATATAAAATGAAATTTAGATCAAATTTTAAGGTTTTTAATCCGACTTCTAAAGGTCATAACCTAGAAAAATAATAAAATTGATTTTTCAAAGTAAGATAATTTAGAAAATGCCTCAATTTCTTGAAATAGAGGCTTTTGCAATGCAAAATTTCTCTAAAACTGTAACTTCCCTAAAGCTTCTGGCCATAATATCAGCCCCTTGGATAATTATTACATTTTTAACCAAGTTCTTAGTTTGTGCCATAAACATATTTTAGTTTTAGCTTGAATTTCAGCACAATAATGTCACCAAAGCCAAAGAAAGTTCGCGGCAAATCACTTGAAAGAAGTGGAATTGACAGTTTTTGCCCAGAGGAAAAAAGTCCAACACTTTGTCTACACGTGTAGAGAATGTGCACAAGAGCATAAAAGTGTCTCGGAGAGTGTAAAATGCATTTGCCTTTGATTTAATAAAATTGCACTAGCACGAGAATTCTTCTTTGGCAATTTCCGCTCTGCACATAATTTTTCGTGCCGGAAAGTCTTCCACCTCATTTTTAATGAATTTTTCAGTCCCACACTGTGATGTTGGCGAAAGAGGGCTCTGTTGTGGTTGTGTATTGTTCCCCCTTCGACACTTTCTGCCAGCTCTGCTGCCGCCATGGAAAATGCATTGGGTGAGAGATGGAGTTGAATGCTCACCACCCACTGAATGGTGGCCAAAAATACATTTCACAGCGATTATATCACATCTCAGAGCAGTCATTATTTGATCGTCTAGCACTGGCAGATGGCAAATGCCTCAGATATTTGCAATCATTTTCCATTTGCATCCGCACACCGTTCCACACTCATAATGCATGAAGATATGCTCAGCACAAGTCTTCTAATGTTGTCTCTGGGGAATCACTATCTAACGATACCGAGCGGTACATATTGAGGTGTAGCCTGAATTATGTGTAGCATCACATGTGGCGTCCTAAGTGGATAGACTCGAGCTCTGATTGCATAAAATGTGTCTTATCTCAGCACTAAAACTCTCTGAATTAAGTATTATGCCGTTCATAGTGTATCGAATCTCAAAATTGGGCCATTAATGAAGTCTACATTTCAATTTTGGCTCTACCGAAACGACTTCCAAAGCAGAGAATTTTGGGGTAGATAATTTATAAATTGTCTAGCAAACAGTCTTACTTTGTATCTCGAAACTAAAGCAATTTCACTTAATCGATTTGAGATACACTTTGAATTTCCTGGATTTCCCCATAAACTCCTCTTATTTATGGCCACCACTTTTGAGCCAATTGCCAGAGTGCGAACGAGAAAGGGTTTTCAAAGCAACCCCAAAACATGGAATGGGACAGAGAATTGATCGAAACGGATGAGGACAGAAGTGACAAATTGATTGAGTGTGAGTTTGGCGCCACTGTGACTCCTTTAATTCCATTTTGGGCATCACTTAAATTACTACACTCCACACGACCGAGATGCAGAAAGTGATGTGAGCGGCCGTCTTGGCATCGGATAGCCAGTCCGCAGGGTGTTCGATGACTCTGCAAGTCCCCGACCGAAACAAAATGTGGATATCATAAGCAATTTTGCATTCACAGCCAAGGCTCGGTCATAGACACAAGTCAAACGACAGAATAATGTGTTCCCGTCATAAAAATTCGATTCATAAATCACGGGAAAATGAGAAAGACAACGGCGAAAACGGTCAATGGGTGGGATTATTTATACATGATGACGGCCAGAGAGAGGAGAATATATTTTTGTAAATATTCCAGACTGAGCGATTAATTCTGACAAATAGCCATATCCATCATCTACTATTAATCAGTGCGATATCGATTAGGAATGGATAAAGCAGATGTTGAGCAAAAAGCCGTGTTCGAAGGCCACCTTATCTGATTATTAGTAACTAAACACATTAAACAATCAATCCATCAGGAAGGTGTTCATCAGCTCGACACACACTCACTCCACAATTTGCACAGATTCTCATATACGACCACGTATCAAGATGGAGATAATACAGTCGGAAGTGGTGTACAGCTCAGTGGAAGTCTTGAGAAGTGAAAGTGTTCGAAAACTTACAATATTCCTTTCTTGAGTGTTTCTTTTACTGCCAAATGATCCCGATTCTTTGGATTTCAATTCCAGTCTGAAAACTTCAAGTACTGGAAGTGTTAAGAAATGATGTACAGATTCAAGACATATTGTCTCCCCCTTGCCTCGTGCGACCCATAAATGTTTCAAGGGGTGTGGAGTTTTGACATTCCTCCCGAGGTCCCAATTATACGCTCTCAACTTCTTCCCTTTCACAAATTTATCCTCTAATTTCTTCATCCATTATGTAGAGCATTTTTCCGGCATTCTCAGCACTTCGTCCGAGCACTTTCAGCCCTTACTCTGTCCTTAGTTTCAATTGACGGCGCTCTTTTGATTGCCTTTTAGGACTTTGCCAGAAATTTACTGGAAAATTTGCCTTTGAATCCCATCAATTAGTATTTCAATTTTTGATAAAGCCATCGAAATTCCAACAATCAAAAGAGAGTTGTGGAAAAGTTTTCCAGCAGCACATATCTCACGGAGTTGATGTATAATTCAGACGATTTCCACCTTGTTAGTTGAAACAATTAAACTTCCCCCGGCCCACAATCTAAATGAATCACTCTACTTTTCGGTTCCCAGGTTCAGGCTTCAAAGGAGCGCCTGTGGGATGAATGGGCGGGAGGTGGGGGGGGGGGTAAATTTAATTAAGAGACTCAAGTTCAATTGAGTTGCACACCCCTCGGTACGTGCCATTAGGCAGGGAAATGAGGTAAGATGAGGCGGTTGGCAGTTAAACTTACATGGGATTTCGAGTGTCAGGAATTTCTCTGTTGCTCGGCAGGAGGTCACTTGCTTGCTGATTGAATCGATTGCGAATATACGGATCCTCCCCATTGCGCAATCCACCCCTGGCGATGTAGCCCGCCTCGTCGAAGTAGTCCCATGACAGCCGTGGCGATGTCTCCGGCACCACAGCGATGGGCACTCCCTGCGGCGATGTCGAGGACGCCACCTCATGGTCCGGGTACTGGACAGCGGCGGCCGTCACGGCGTCCCGCAGCCGAAGCGCTCTATTCTCAATCTGCAAGAGACGAGGAGGGTCATTAAGAGTGGCTTTCATAAGTGCATACTTGGGATGATCTGAGGACACTTGAGTGGTATCTCAACTATTCCAGCCATTGTGCAATCTGCAGAGAGCCTGAGGAGTCATGACACAATCAACCATTCCTGCTTTCCTGACATTGCCTTTGAGCCACTGTATACGCTTACCTATTGATTACCCAAAACTCTTTGAAATCATATACTTTCAGATTGGCTTCAAATGTATTGAAGTTTTCATCCAGATTCATAGAATGTTCCAAATTGTTCTCACAAAGTATTGCATTGTTTGTGTTGTACTTCATCAATTGTTAGGTGCCTAGCTCTAGGACTTGCTCTAGGAGCTCTCAAAATGAATCTACGCGGGTGTTTATTAATATCCTCGTGAATCCACGTTCAACTGTCGTTATTCCATTTAGGGAAATTTTGCAATGTCTTGGTGAATGTTGTCACAAAAAGCAATCACATCCTAAATCACTCAAGCTTGCATTCCATTGTACATTGTTGTGACTTTCGCCTTATTGCCACCCCGGAACAACCCCCATATTTTGTGCACAGTAATTATTCCCTGCAGTGGTCTTGGGGTGATTTTGCGGAGCTTGAAAAGCGAAAAGTCTTATTCAGATTTTTTTTCTCCTGCTCTCAATAAGCGAGGCAACACAACAATGGAAGCTCCTCAATTGGCGGGGAGAGGGTAAATAATCATCATGAGAAAAATATTAATGCTCCGCGGGCTTTCGCGGTGGTCGGGGAGAATTCAATGAAAACACTGTTTGTGTGGAGTCAGCGGAAAATGATAATCCCTTTGATTCTGGCGCTCACTCCACACATACATACACACACAAAAGCACCCTGAGCGCGGGTGGAAAGGTAGAGTGCGGGGGCTGCATTTACATTCATAAATAACTGGGTACATGGAGGGATAAGATGGATGTTCTTATTATTATTTAGATGTATAAATTGAACATATCTCCTCGACGATCCGCCATGTATCCTTCGTTGCGGAACAAGAAGTCACCATCGCCCCTCCGGGAAGATATTGCTTGTCTTCAACGACGAGGAGCTCACATGTTACGCTTAGAGACACTCTCTCTCTCTCTCTTTATTCCTATTCACTTCTCTACAGTTGAGTGACTGAAATTGGAGCGCTTTTGGATATTGTCAATTGTATGATTGCAAATATGTACATCCGGATGCCTTAGATATGCTTCGTTGACCAACAGGTCTGGAGAAGTAGAAACAGTGCCTTTGTAATCAATCTGGATAATCCTCACTTAATTCTCTGTAAGACAATTATATAACTTTTGACCATGTAATCTAACTTACAAACATTTAGACTTCAAGAATGGGACATTTGTCGGTCTTGTGCGTAGCACCCGAAAAACTATTTCTGAATGTAAATGGCAGAGAATTTGGTAACTGTATTGTCTCGAATTATCCCATCAAGAACACCCGGAAAAGCTCCTTACGGAGTAAAGCTCAAGATTAATAAAATAAACATGACGTATCACTCGAATGGGGTCTTTAGGAAGTCTTCTTCGTTCCCAGAAGAAAAAAGGAAGCCCTCGGCTTTCACTTTTCGGCACGATTCTGTCCTCCAGGGGCGGAATCGCGTGCTGGAAGGGTCCTTGGGCGGGAGGAGTGAAGATCAAGTGATGGGGATTGGGATTTCTGTGACGCTGCAGAGGAGGAGAGCACGGCAGCCTGACAACAATCACCAGATGTGTCGCGTACAAACAAACAAGGCGAAACATGCTTCGATTTAAATGTAAATCTCTCAAGCTATTTCCACCGTCAAACGGCAACATTTCGCATTTTATGTTACTCAACTGTGTTACTTATATGACTCCGGCTGTGGAAATATGAAGAGAGTCCCTGGGAAGATTGAGCATGAGTTTTGGGCTACGCTTGTGGGAAGGAATGCATAAATAATAAGTGGATCCTCATAAAAACAAGTGATATGGAAATTAACAATGAAATCCGCGCAGAAACAATAAAGAACAGTCGCTGGTTGGCCGAGGAAATAAAGCACCGAATATCATTCTTCGTGCCTAAACAATCTCACCAGCATCATTCATACCAATTTTTCATGCCCACCCATGGAGAATCCTCATGGGGATGTACGAGAGACAGACAGTGTGAATCGAATCTATATGGAAAAGCTCAGAGGCGGAAAAAGCGAACTTTTTGCTGCGGAAAAAAATCCGTTCCGTGTAATTAAGAGAACCGACCATTCTGTGTGGCAGTTATAGAGCCAGAACTCGCTCTCTGGGTCTCTCTGTGGAGGCAATATTGCTATCAATTTAGTGCTAAAATATGGCAAAGGAATATTTTTCAACATGAGAAGCACCTTTGATGGTTCTTCATGCCTTTTATCTCTCCGGTTCACTTTATCTTTTACCTTTTTTCTCCCCCCATAAATATTGATTCGGCGAAAATCCACAAAATGAAAGAGGAAAAATTCGCATTTGGGTCTGAGCTTTCCCACGGCCTCAAATTTAATTTATAGATGAAAATCGATTTTCACAAGGGTGTAATTTGAGTTGGATAATTGGATGGTGAACCTCATTAATAATACACTGCAGAAGAAAGGATATTCTCTAATTGCCGGGAAATCATCATTCATTGCGGGTTTTCCCTGAACCTCCCGATCCATTTGCTCCGCAGGACCACAATTTCTACATTTATCCGAACTGGGAGAAGTCAGAAATTATGCACAATCTTGATGAGTAACCAGCCATACATATAAAATATGGTCTCGACTACCAACTCATAAATCATTTTTCCTCCTTCAAACAGCAGGAATTTTCATTTCCACGCGCTTTTCAACGTCTCTGGATCGCTCCCTGAATGAGTGATTGAGGGCTTCTGGCCTCTTTTGAAGTGCACACGACAAATGGGAGGTCTTTTTCCAAAAAAAAGAGAAGAAAAAAGGAACCTCCACCAAAATTCACCCGCAATTTCGGTCAAGATGAAGATTTATTGGGAGGAAAGGCAGCTCGCCTTTTTCCCTGTGACTTTTTACCCTTAATCTAATGTGAATTCCTTCTGAGCAAGAGTTTCCCGGAAATTTTTGACAATAATTAGGGACGATGTAAGCAACGACCTCCTCCATCCGTGGCCTTTTGTGAGAGGAAAAAGGAAAACACGAAAAGAAATACACTTTTCAATGTGAAAGATTGATTGGAGCTCTTCGTACTTCACATCTACTTTCCATCAAACCCCAAAAAGATCAATTTTGTACTTCCACGAAGTTCCAATTGAAGAAAAATTACAGAGGATGAAATCATGTTTGAAAATTTTTCCATAATTGCTCTTCTTTGATAATAATGCTTGCGAGAATGTTCAATTTAAATTATAAGGTAGATGAACATACAATTCCTTTCCACTTATTTGCCTTGCTTTAGCCAAGGGGGAGATAATATGGCCTAAAACAATTTCAAATACTTTTTAAATTCTCTCAGTGATTAAAAAACAATCGTTTTTTGGCTTTCAAACACTTTAGCAATTTTAATTAGGCAATTTTAGAAGTTCTTCTGGTTAGGAATAGTTTTCTGGTTAATTTTTGTATGATCTTAACCTCAAAATAACATTGAAAACATAAAAAAACTGTTTTCAGCTAAGGAAAGAATTTAAAGATTTTTAAGGGTCACAAATTGGGAATTTTTACTCGAAACTTGTCGGGAAAACTCTATAAAATGTTTTTGAGCTTATGTTTAACTTTAGCACTGTTTAAAGTGTGTTTTATTATCCAGAAATTTAAAATTAAGATCTTTATTGCTTGCAAATGCTTGATTGATTTGGATAATCTAAAAAATCATTCCTAGGAACTTATTTGTAAGAACTAAATAAATGAAATTCTGACTTCTGCTAAGGTGTACATCACTTCTGACCATATTATCTCCCCCTCGGTTTCCATTGTATTTTCCAGAATCCCTTTGGCACGAGAATCCACAGGGAAACTCCATCGAGTGGTCTTGCTAAAAATTCACGTGAAATTCATTCTTATCCCACAACGAACTTTGGCATGTCCATGAAGCATGTGCTGTGCAGGAATAAAATAAAAGTGAGAGCCAAGAACAAAAGCTTCCAGGAGCGAGTTATTGCGACAGCAGGACACCTTTTTGGACTTGCGACGGATCCACAAATAGTATGAAAAGATTATGGATTTCGAGGGAACATTTCACTGTGTATTTCCAATTTTTTGCTCGATTTTTAATGCTTACAGAGACTCTTTTTCTCCTACTGAGACTACTGAAGTACGGAGAATTTTCCCTTCGGGACTGCTTTCACCTGTGCGAGTTGTTTTGCAGCTGTCGAGTGGAAAATTTTATATCCCGGAAATCAAATTGGATTATGCCGAAGTGCAAGACTCGCTTCTGCCAGCAGAAACTCACCAACGAAGCTGTGCTATTAGTGGGTTTGTCTAGTGATGAGTACTTTGTTAGATGGAAAACCGGTGGAGTGAAATAGCTGAATGTGTGCTTCACGTGCGATCCTTAAATGCAATTATTGCCTCCAACCCTTTAGCCATTCACGAAAATGTATTTGTGCTGGCAAACATCTCGTTTGGAGGTGGCGAATGGAAAAAGCAAAGCTTAATGTTCCTCCTCCAGTTTTCTCCACTCGTTTTTTCCACACCGTCCATCGCTCCAAATCTCCATTCTCGGTAGTTTGTTGGCTGTTTTTGCTGGCGAGAACAAATTTGTTGAATTTTGAAAAGTCATTAGCACCAAACTACACTTGAGCTCTCCGAATGAGCCGCAACGGATAAAGTTATACGAGTATCTCCTTAATTAACAAAACCAGCTTAATGGATTATCCTTTTCCATAAATGTATGGCATTTACGTTGTGTTTCCTACTTGCAATTCCTGCCCGTCTCATGCCTTGAATACACAACACCACAAACTGTATCTTAACGGAAGAGCCCACCAAAGACCATTCTGCCACACGAAAGGATTGAACCATGGAAGGAGATCAAT